GGGGGGGGAAGGGGAGCCATCCCCCCCCCCCCCCGCCGTCGCCGCCATGCACTATTCTCATGCAGCTGGTGCAGGGGTCTCATCAGTGGCAGCAGCAAGGCTCTGTCACCCGCTCTGCCTTTTTGTGGTCCAGTGGGTATGACCTGGTACAGAAGTGGCTCCTGCCCATGCTGGTCTGGCCAGGCTGTAGCCCCTTGCCCCACTGTGGACACACACATCTGGAGGGGGCAGGCATGTGCCCACCCACGCCTTCTACTGATACATTGCCTATAGTGTCGACTGGTCAGGTACACCCACCCGCTGCCCTCCATACTAGAGGGCAGGGGGTAGCGGGTCGGGAGTGAGGGGCACCAGTAGGGTGAGGGGAGGAAGGGCTGCAGTTCAGGAGTGAGGGGCACCGGTGGGGTTGAGGGTTGCAGTTGGGAATGAGGGGCAGCAGCCAGGCCATGGGGTTGTGGGTCAGGACTAAGGGGCACTGGGAGGGCTGTGGCTTGGGAGTGAAAGCATCAGCATATCAGGGCTGCTTAGTGCCACAAAGCAGCAGAGGGACAGCTGCAGCTGGACCCACATCCTGGTGAGCAAAGGGGACAGGGAGAACTCTGATTTTTCTACGATTAAAAAAAAAAAATTATATACCAAAATATATAGGTATTTAGAATTTATTTTATTAAAATGATTAAAGCACTGTTAGGCTTCCAAATTGCTTTGAAATTGTAAATATATCGATAAAACACTGTGTTCAGTTGATACCTACAGATATAGTGGTGTTTCATTTTAATCACAGAAAAACATAGATTTTGCATTTTTTTTAAATCGAGAATTTTGGATTTTTAAATGGAGAAAACCAGAATCCTCGGTCATAAGATAATGATTGAACACCCTAATTCTACAGAGCTTGTTCAAGTGAATAATCTTACAGATCACATAACTAAGGATCGGAGGACTTTCTTACTCATTTGTTTCAAATTGCTATTGAAATTTAATGGAGCACAGGACATTTGAAGGTTTAGTATCTCCTGATTTTTTACATGCAGAATATTTGGATTTATTTTTTTTAGTATGAAACTTTCAGAACAGAAGAAGAGGAGAGAATAAAAACTGAGGGGCAAGATGTGAAATCATCAGTGTACTTCATGAAGCAAACAATCAGCAATGCCTGTGGAACAATTGGGCTTATTCATGCTATTGCAAACAACAAAGAAAAAATGAACTTTGGTAAATCTTTTCTTTGTTAACATCATTTTGTTTTTACGTAGGATGTCAGTATCTCGGTATTAAAGACTTAAGAGAATAATGGCTAATTTCTACTTTTCATGATGATGCAGCAGCACAGTTTTTTGTGCAAGTTGATAGTCATTGAGAATGTTGGTAATTTTAGTAATTCATAGGACACCAAGACCTTACAGTTAATGAATAAGACGTAACCTACCAATATAAGGTGGCAGGTAATGTTTTGATGTTTCTTACCATAATGAGAGTCTGGTGACTTCTTCTAATACACTGCATACAGTCAACTTTTGGCGTTGTGTTCTTATTTTTCTGGCTGGACATAAATTCACTGTATACTTTGTGATTTCTACTTTTTTTAAAATAGAATGCTAAATATTAGCCAAGTCAGCTATGAAACATTTTCTCCTTTTGTTGTAATTGTCTGAGTTTAGTGAAGATAGGAGAATAAAGAGATTTCTTCATTCACTTTCTATTTTTATTTTATTGTTTCAAGAATCTGATTCTTCATTGAAAAAGTTTCTGGAAGATTCATTATTAATGACTCCTGAAGAGAGAGCCAAATATCTAGAAACCTATGAGGTTAGCATCTTTCTCCTCTTTTTATACAGTAGAAATGTTTATATGAGTAGTTCTGCATTCGATCTTCTTTCAACAAAACACTTCAGGCTGTGACCAGTCTTGGTTACCATAGTTGAACTGCTCATGCTTAAAGATAAGCATTTGCTGAAGTGCTTTGTCAAAGTAATTTATGAATGATTTATTATGAATGACATTTGCTTTTAACAGGCAATTTTGTAATCCCACTACTTATTGTGTAAAAGACTTAATACTGTGTTAGGTGATGCTATTTCATAAGTTAAAATAGTAATTCCTTTTTAGGTATCCCCTAACAGAGAATATGAAATAAAGTTACTTAAATTGGAGTCCCTTTTGGTTGGCTAACTTCTAGTCAATTCTTCTAACACAGGGCTGTCCAACTCGTAAGCAGCTGGGGACTGCATGCCCTGCCATCCACACCAGCATGGGTTTCAGGGCAAGCCACAGGCCTTCTGTTCTGGATGCTCCCCAGCTGCAGTGTGCGCCTGCGTGGCCCTGGCAAGGGGCAGATGGAAGCCCCAGGGCCACAACTTTAACCCCTTGTGGGTCACATGTGGCCTACAGCCACCAGTTGAACTGCTGTGTTCTACCAGATGCAATAAAAAATAAATAAAAATCTTGTGTGTATAGCACAGCATTTACTACTGTGTTACAAAGTTGACAGTTGAGAATATGAACTGACTCTTACAAAGACTTATTATTTAAAATAACATGTTTTGTGTATGGTTTAGTGAAAACATATGTTTTAATTTTCAGGCTATTCGTGTCACTCATGAATCCAGTGCTCATGAAGGTCAGACTGAGGTATTCAGTTTTATAACTTTATTTTACTAACTATACTTCTAACGTAATATTTGTTTGAAATAATTATTAGATTTATACCTGGTTGAAAATGAGTATTTCTTCAGTACTGATATTTTCAGTTGTTAGTCACGTTACGGTGCAAAAGCGTGAAGCTTTGCAAGTTTTTTCTATTTTTTTGTATTTTCCCCTTTATCTAGTCTTTTGGGGTTAATTAAATCTTATCTTCAAGCTTTTTTCTTTCTGTTCATGAGTCTTGGTATCTGATTCTTGAGATTCTTGCATCAAAGATTTGGAACTTGTAGGAAGAAATGCCAATACCATGCACACCTCAATGTAATCACAAGAGGTAACGCTTCCAAGTGACACACAACTAACTGATCCATTCGCTTCATAAACAAAATACATATGGCTCATCCTAACTGCGCAGGTGGTTTTGACCTATATGTATATATGTGACTAAACTACTTCAGGAAAACAAAAAATCACATTGCAGTACCTCATGTATGTGGTGAACTATGTCCTGTTTCAGATAAATACTCATAGATATGAGAGACTTCATTTTACATTAGGATTTCAAAATGATCAAATCATTTCTAAGTTCATCACAGGTGTGCTTTTTCTTAAATACTGAAATATATTCTTATGCATGTAAATGCAGGCTTTCTAGTCTTTGACAAATTCTGGTTATCTTCTATAATATGCATTCCCCTGGTTATGAATGTCTGCATGAAACCTGGAAGCCAGAAGCCAGTGTATCATTGGTAGCACTTTCATTGATATAAATGGACTTCAGTCTTGGGCTAAATTAGAATGATAAAGGAAAGGTGGATAAGCGATCAAAGTAACTGACTGGTTATCTTTAAGACAAAAAGTCAAACAAGAAAGATGCTTCTCCAATCTACCTCGACTCCACCAGTTTAAGCATTTGACACATTCAAAATGAAGTTTGGTATACAAGCCAAGAAAGGAAGATGAGATTATTGTGGCTTTTGTGTCAAAGTAGAAGAAAGCAAGACAAGCTTGCCTGAAGAGAGCAGGGAGTTCCCAGGTTGCTGCCACTAACTACAGGTTTATCGTAACTCTTTCAGACACAAAATAAAAGGACTTTTCAAAAAGAAATTATTTTCCTGTGGATATTGTAATTTCCTCTTTTGGAATCTTCTCTCATTCTTCTCTTTCTTACCTTCTTGCTGTGAATCAATCCAGAGACTTTATCATCACACAGGGAAAAATCATGTAGTTTCATCATATATCTTTCTTAGTGTCTACCTGAGGAATTGGGTCTTCCTTCAGAGGTTCCAGTTTAAAACATTCAATCCCATTTCTTAATTGGTTTAGCTAGGGTAGAACTACTGGGGACTACCTGTCTTAATTCCCTAACAGGTCTATAGCCTGTGAGCCTTCCCCTCAAACCCTGGAAAAGAGAGATTCCCCAGGTTTTCTGTCATCTTGTACTCAAGGTGAGGGGTTTTTAGTAAACACTTTTTATTGGACCAGTTGTATAGCTGAGAGAGATGTTAGACAAGCTTATGGGCATGAAGTGCATGTGTAACATCTCTCCCAACTCTACAGTTCATCCAATAAAATATATTGTCAAAAAACTCTTCTTCTCTCACTTCATGGACCATCATGGCTACAACAGTATTGCAGGCCTACTCCTTTGTATACTTAGGAATCTACCCAGGAAGTGGACTTTGAGAAATTGTCTTACTTGTCAAGATCTTTGTGAAACTTGGAAGTAAATACGTAGGTTATGGCTTCTAGAAGTGTCCCAAGTATTCAGGTAGGGTCCTTCAAGGAGTTCACTCAGCTCAACTGTGTGGTGGTTACATTTTGAGAGAGAGAGATTAAGCAATAAGTAATTTCCACTTTGTCTTAAAGGGAACTATCATTCTTTATAACATGCTTTGAACTTAGAAAGTTTCTCATACGTGTAATAGTGTCTGAGCACTTCTCCAGTGTCAGCTGTGGAATCTGGATTTTCTGCAGTTAGGTCATGAGCTTTAAAGTCATCCTGAAAGGTGACTTGACACTGTCATTATATACAGTGTAACTTTTAAAAGAATTTCTTAGTCCTCCTCTACATCCATTATATTCTCAGGGTTGCTTCCCTGGGACCAGGTTTGTGGTGTCTGCTGAAGCTACAAAGCTACATTGAAAGCTTGTATCACTGCATGCCACAAAGGTAGTGTCTACCAATCTCTTCTCTAATTTTATCTTTAATGGTTATCTACTGTCCTGGAAAAAGTGTGTTAAGCTTTTGGGACAGAATACAGTACCCTTTAGATAAAGTGGTCCTGCAGGCAGAACTCCCCCTCATCCTTTCTGTGAGTGTTTGAGACAGCCCTTCACATTGGAAGGCCTTAAAAGAACTTTCAGTATGTGGTTGGGGAGAAGAAAACCTAAAAGTCTCCTGTATATGAATGATTGATTTGGCTTTTGTGTTTTATTTATCCCAGCACTCTCTCTCTGAGGCAGTTATTGTTCCATTGGTAGTTGAATTGCATGAGTCCTAACAGGTGGTCCACTCCACAACAGCATATTCATTGGTTCATACAAAATCTCTAAACCTTTAATCTCAACATTAAGGCAGACTAACTTCCCAAAGATATGTGATGCCAGTCTATTGATTAAGGTCATATGAAGTTGCTGTCAAGATTTTTGTATTGGCACGTGTTGGTTGGAAATTAGAAATAGGTGTTCAGTATCTGGAGGCAAAAAGAAAGCCTCACGGAGTGTCACTGACAGCATAAATGGTAATATAAATGTAGCTTTCTATTATATAAAAGTTGCATGAAATGCAAAAGGCTTTTTTCCCCTTAATTTATTTTCAAGGTCATGAGTTGGTGTGACAGGATGGAACCTTGACTTCTTCTGAACAAAGTATTTATTTTTAAATTGTTACTACTGATAATCCAGTTAAATGACTTCACAGTTTCTTTAGTTTGTACGAAGTCTACCAAGCAGAAATACCCAGCTTTGGTAGTAGAATCAGCATAGCGTGTTACAGGCACTGTGCAGCTCCCCTGCTTTTAGCATCCAACATAGATCAAAGCCCTTTATTGTGCTTTCTAGACCACCTCCTGAGTTTAATTTGGTATATACACTGTCACTAAGGTATACTAGTGAATTAATTTACTGTTGCTTTTGATTTCTATTTCTCTTTCAAGTGACAATGTTTTAAAATCACAGAATGTGCTCTGCTTGCTGGTGCAATCACAAGAATATACTATTATAATTTTGAATTTTAAGTAGTTATAGATTAATTTTTATTTTATTTTATTAAAATACTTATATTAATCAGTTTGTAGGTAGTGTTTCCACCTATTAGAATCAGTAGCAAATAATCAGATTTTTTTTCAGCACAATGTATAAACTTTATGAAGTGCTCTTGGAAAAAAAAATCCTTATTAATTTAAGTTGGACAGGCTTATTGGACTGATCCTGTTTAAAGAACAACATGGCACTCCTTCCAAATTAGTAACTACCTAGAAAAGGCAGAGTTGCAAATGTCAGAATGTATGGAGATGTTTTTGATGTTGTGCGCTCAGAATTTAGGTAAGGCATGGTAGGATGACGAACAGTTCTCTATAGATTGATATTAGAAGTCAGGGTGCAGCTCACTTCAATGAGGACCTTAAAGCATACCAGCAATGCCAGCTTCTGCCCATTTGGCTATTTCAGACAAAACTTTGTTTCATAACAGGATTGTAAAGCTTCTAGCGGTGCATACAAAATGTTTGTGGGCAAAATGCAGGTTGAATTAGCAGTTCATGGTGATTACTTATTCCAGGTTGTGTCTTCCTCATACAGCGATTTGACCAGAACTCCTATTTTGGAAACACTGGATTTTTTTTCTCATGTGTACCCAGGTTTGGATCTAGGGGTGGTGATGGTGTGTGGTGGGGGGCGTGGAGCAGGTACACCCGGGGTATACCCAACGGTTGCAGTGGTGCAGTTGAGCATCCCCCCCCCCGGGTCTGATTTTGGCCTCTCCCAGACTTTAAAACCAACTGCTTGGGGCGGGCATTTCTATTCAGGCAGTGTTGAGAAAGTTGACTTCGTGGGTCATTATCATTTCCCTGATTCCTGCTAATCGCTGTCTATTCCACAGATGTTAATGACCCTCTCTCCTTTTTAATGGTCCAGATGTTCCACTATTCAAAATATCCTTTCTTCTGCAATTTTGCTCTTTGTTAGCCATTTGTAGAAATGTCTGTCTTCTGTTTCACAGCCCTCCAGGCTGTTTTTAGCTCTAGCTAAAAACCTTAACTCCGGTATGGTGTAGAAATTAACAGAGGTCTAAAAATGACTGATAGTGAAGTGTTGGAGGCACTGTCCAGATGCTCAAGAAAGCTAGGTTTGTTTTATGAATAAGAGACATAAAATAAAGTAATAACTACAGGACTTAATGATGTGGTATCTTTTGAATATTTTTGCCTGTTTTGTTGTGTTTTTTAACTTGATATATAATCTAGCAAAATTGTAATGGTTTACTTTGATCTTAAACTGAATAATATATTGCAAGCCCCCTAGGCCTTGCATATTAGTAAAGCTTCTAGTTTCTCTAACTGGAAAAAACTGTCATGTTGTGTGTTGATACACCACATCATCTGCACCCCCCACCTTTTCAAAATCCTAGATCTGCACATGGATGTACCCAAAGAGTAAATATACCATAAAGTAAATTACATCTCTTTAAAATAAATTTACAAGATAAATTAGATTGTGCTGTCAAATGGTAAAACTGAAGTTGTTCTACAAAGGTGAATTTCACAATGCTTCTGATGAGACTTGCAATCTAGACCTCTCCTCCTAACATCTGCTCATCCCCCTGGCGTTCTCCCACACAAAATAGAGAACTTGATTTTTCTCATAAACAACAATTATAGCAGCATCCACTTTGAACATAGTTTACATATGGAAAAATAGGAAGACCCTGCTGCTCCTGGATAGAGAAATGGGACCTATGCCTTCATTATTTCAGGAGTAATAGCTTG